ATTCTTAAATCTCAAGAATCGATTAGTCATCCTGTTTCATTTAAATGAATGAGATATTGTATCGCGGCTGCGCACATCCAATAAATCGCACTAATCGTTGTCCTGCTTTGTTACTATTGATATGAAACAAAGTCTCAATTTTCAAATTACGTCCATTTTCTTTAGAAATTCAAAAACATAAATAGCGTTTTGCCGTTTTGTCGCTGTGGCGTGAGATCGCTCTGACGCAGCTCCAGAGAAGCAGCAGCGCTGATCTCTCTTCCGGCTTTATAATACCAGTTACAGCGCCAAATAAACATGAATGAGCATCTAAAAGTGTGTTAAAAGATCGAGTACAACTTATCTAAATCCGTATCATGTCACATTGATTCGCTCAATCTGCGTTTCAACCGTGGAAAGACGTCAGTTAAACAGCTTGTAATCAATGTCATGTATCGTCATATTTACCTCAGAAAACCCACATAAACTCGTTAGTCCACACTCGTTAGTGTTCTTCAATATTTAATGCATATTTGAAAAAATCTGGCAAGTTTTTATGACAGCCACCATTTAAATGTTTATATTTCATATAATCTTCTTATTATAAAAATAAATAAAAGTGTAATTTAAGTGTCTGTTTAGCTACAAAACAGTTCATTATTACCTTCGTATTAGGTTAATGAAGCCTAGTAGTCTACAACTAGACTATATATATAGACCATAGTTTACAGCATTTAAGAGATTTGATTCCCTTGAGAAAAATTGCCATTTATTATAACTGATATATCCAAAATAATCGATATTGAATCGAAATCGAATCGAATTGCAAGCTTGTGAATCGAAATCGAATCGAATTGTGAAATTTGTCTCAATACCCAGCCCTAGACAATAGCGGACTATGATGAGTCAGCTCGCTCAGGGCGGGTCTGTGTTGAAAGTGAAACACTGCTGTCAATCAACAATCATGGGAGGTACGTTCAATTTAGTGACGTCACACGGTCGAACGGCTCGATTTGAGGCAGGGGAAAACATAAGGAGATTAAATTATTAAAACAAAAACACTGGGTAGATTTTTATCAATATGATGGTTGTGTACAGGCACTGCCAACACACATTTCAGTACAATCAACTTGAAAAAGTGCAAGTACAATTATATGACCCCTTTAAGACACATTTTTTCAACAGACAAAAGGAAGAGGAAGTATTTTAAGCTTAGTTACTTTCTGGGTGTTTGGCAAATGATTTACAGGCCTGTCACAAGAATCATTAAAAGCTTATCTTCTGTTGGAGTGTTACAGGAATCATATAAACCAGTTTCATAATGATCTCAAAAAAAATTATTTACTTTCTCTTTTAAAAATAAAGACATGCAACAACTCAAGTGCTGCACATTTGAGTACATAATAAACGAGATTTTATTGACTCTATGATATGAGAGTATTGGGGTCATTGACACTAGTATAAAGGGTAATATGGTAAAGAAAAGGAAGAATCTTCTAAAAGGAAGTAAATATGTATTTCAAAACGTTTCCGACGTTGGTTTTGAAAAACTTTAAGGAAAGTTTAAATTCAATTACTCTTTAAAAAGTCACATGGATGGTATAACAATTAAGTTAAAGGTAATAACATATTTGCACCTCGAATTAGGGCCGAGCAATTAATCGAAATGGCAATTTCTAAAACTCAGAAAGCAGGATTTTTCCGCCAGCCCCCTCCGCAGCGCACCTAAATCTAGCGCGGGAACAGAACAGAGCGGGTTTACCGTAATGACATGGGCGAAAGCACAGAACCAAGCGGCAACATTCTAATCTGAAAGATGAAGCCTACCCGGAAGTGCGATAAACTGCAATACATCTCAAATCCGCTAGAGGGCGGTCCCAAAAGGGAGCAAATATGCATATACGTCATGTTATAATCTCTGTTTTCACAGCATAAATTCATATGTTTACAGTTTGGTCCCATGGACTTTTATTGTAATCTTCAATATGTTCCGCGCGCCTGACAACTGTGAGGGGGGTGAATTTTTTTCTAACTCGTTAGATTAGATCATATTTAGATATAAAACGTATGACAGATAAGGGCGGTTAACTTTGATTGACAGCTGATAACGGGCTGCGCCGAGTGAACTTGACGTCTCGGCCATGATCTGACAACACATCATACCACCTCTGTATCCTTTCTGAAACTTTTGTATTTTCCAAGATTTTCCAGTATGGCGCCGCCCATACCCCCATAAACAGCTTCAAACCCGTTCTTCAGAGAGTCTATGGGTGATGTCACAGACACTTTGTCCATATTTTTTACAGTCTAAGCACAAAACCAGGGAAATATGATGTATCCGAGCCAGGCAATTTGCATGTATAAACAAAAATATACATGAACATCAAAAATATATATATTTTTTTTTTGAAATTAAAAACATGCTAATTATTGTAGAGGTGCATTATTTATTGCATGTATGAAATGCATATTTGATTTTGAATACTTTAGCCAAAAAACTTAATTGGTAATTATAAGTTGAAAAGTTTGGATGCATTGATTGAATTATTTATTTTGGTCATTTTTTTTACTATTTTAAAAACATCACATTTTTCATTGCTCTTATGGTTTAGGATAGTTACAACAAAAGAAGCGAGGGGTTATTTCAGATGTAGAGACATCATTCTTTATATATATATATATATATATATATATATATATATATTATAGCATGCAATGATTATTTGCAATGACAATTGACAATTTTCCAATTTCATGTCTTAAATTTCATAAATATGCCTACATGACACAAATAATAATTTCCTTATATTCATCATCATGAGAAAGATTCCCCCTTTGTCCTACTAATGGCGTATCCTCCTGTGATCTCTGACCAAGTTTCTTTCTCAGTGTCTGTCATCGGCTAACACACACACACACACACCCATGAACACACACAGGCCAATTACAGCCCAGTAGTTCCTTCTTCCAGGTGAAGTCCAGAGCCTCTGGTTTATCAGGCATCAGAAGCATCTCTGTAACTATGTGCTCTCCAGACACGTACCAGTATACGGCTCTCAACCGCGTAGAGAGAGCGAGTGAAATCTGGCAGCCACTAAGGAAACAATGACAATAGCCTCCGCAAGTCCCACAGAATAGATGCAGAGAGCAATCTGGCACAGTGACAGATCACTTTCACTCGCAAGTTTCCCAAAAAGACAAAGTTAGGACACTTTTGTCCCAAGTACCAGTTTGTGAATAGATAGAGATGGAGCTAGAATACCTACAATAAAGAACAGGAAGCAAAGGACTGTTTTGTTCAGTGAACGAGCAGGCTTGGCAAGCTTGCGTTTTGAACTGTTGATCTAAAGCCGGACCGAGGCTAGTCTGAAGATTAGCGCTGCACTCACACACAAAAACACCCTGGCATTTCCACTTAACATCATGAGATGGCAATGTCACCTCTGATGAAATATGCAAAACAAAGATCACCTCAATGAAAACTCAATGAAATAATGAATCAGACCAGACAACGTCATGCTAACTCACATGGATAACCCAAAAATACCACAAGAATTTAGGTAGCCAAACAGTTCCTGGTCCCCATTGACTTCCATAGTATTTTTTATTCATACTATGGTAGTCAACATCTCTTTGACTACCAGTATTCTTCAAAATATCTTCTTTTGTGTTAAGCAGAAGAAAGAAACTCATACACATTTAGAACAATGAGAGGGTGACCAAATGACGACAGCATTTTAATTTTTGGGTGAACTATCCCTTTAAGTTAAAACTCATCAATTTCCTCTATTCAAGGATGCCGTGGCCTAGTGGTCGAACTAAAAGGTTGTAAGTTTACGCCACAGCAAAGGAACAAACTACCACCATTATGGTCTTACACCCATATTACTCAAAGGTAAGTGTGCAGGACATAAATACACTTAAGCATACTTCTACATGCAATTAAATGAAATAAATATATATTTTGAATTATTTAACAATTAGTTGAACTTATTTTGACCCACTTAAGTAGATCTGTAAATGTAATTTCATAATTTCTCCTATTGTTCATTTACAGTTAAATTGCGCAGACGAATGTACCGACAAGCATTTATAATAATCTAAAATATACTTATTTGTAAATACGCATTTGAATAAATAAAAAAAATACACATTTATAATTATGAATTTGCAATTTAGTACATTTAAAATACATTAACTGTACATGTAATATCAATTAACACAGTACAGTTAAAATTGCAAGTACTTATTCAAAGCACAATAAACATTATCAATCTTTCATTTCAGTCAAATTAGAAACACTTTAAAGAATAATATAACTCACCAAAATAAGATAAGCAATTTTCAACTTTTTAAAGTTATACACGATTCAAATATGTTTATAGTGTAATTAAGGTAATACAAAATTAAGGCAGCAACTTTTTATTACAGTGTAGTTTTTTTGCCTCCTGAAAAACATACTTTTAAGATTTGAAGTAAACTACAAGTGCGCACTCAATACAATCAATCAAGCACACTAGTTTCACAGGGAATGCCTACTAGGTTGATGACTTATGGGTGAATGAATGCATTGGAAGCATGACTTGCAGCAATTACAGTGAGAGTCAGAGCACTATAATAACACATAGTATATTTGTATTCAGTAAGCTCTATGTGAACTGAAAAGACTGAGTTTAGAGAGAAACATCAGTGAAGGTCATTTGAGCAGCTGTCAGTGAAGCCTCGACAGCACACACACAACTGAAGCTAGTTTCTAACGTTAGTTTACTGCTGCATTTTAGTAAAATGCTAATTCCCACAGCAAACAGCATGGCCGACTGTGCTGGTTTAACTTGGTTTGTTGTTTTGGGACCATTTGAGAAGGTTTGAGTCATCGAGAGATTGGCCATTCTGGTCTCCTCGAACTTTTGAAAAGTAACGTACGCTTGAATTGTAACGTCGCGTGAGCTGGACAGGCTTTCTAACCGCACATCTGACACACACGTTAGTGAATGTGTTTATGTCGTGTAGAGTTAAGTTACCTTGACCGAGTCCACGGGGTACATGACTGTGTGCTCCAGCACTCCGGCCACGGCGCCCGCTGTCATGTGCGTGCCCAGCGACGCGTGAGCGGGCAAACTCTCGTAATCCGCCTCGCCCTCCAACGCGTCGCCGTCGCTGTTCACCTCCGACATCTCCACACTCGCCAGGACCGCGTCGCTGCGCAACTCCATGCGGTAGAAGCGCTAAACCCACGCTTGATACGCGGAGATGTGAAGCGGCAACACGAGCGCGCACATCACTATCACCGCCACTGCCGACAACGTCATCTCAGCGACGCTGTGATGTCATCGTGACGCCGCGGTCGCGCGCCAGACTGTGAGAGCGGTAACGGGTGAAGGTGGGGCTCAAAGCTGATGTTACCATAAAAAGTACACTGATCTGTTGTTTTTGAGTGATTCTTCTGTTCAGGAGTGTTTTCTATCTTGTTTGGAATTGGTCTGTGGTTAGGTTGTATTAATTAAAGGGATAGGTCACCCAAAAAAAATGAAAATTGTGCCGTCGTTTCACTCACCCTCGAGTTTTTCTAAATATATGAGTTTCTATATTGTCTAGAACACAAAAGAAGATATTTTGAAAAATGTTGGTACTAATCAAAGATATTCTGGTCCCCATTGACTTCCATAGTAGGAAAACAAATGGAAGTCAATGGGGACCAGAAACTGTTTGGTTACTGAGATTCTTCAGGTATCTTCTTTTGTGTTCAACCGAGGAAAGGAACTCATACAGGTTTGGAACAACTTGAAGGTGAGTAAATGATGACAGAATTTTATTTTTGGGTGAACTTTGAATTTGCTCTTATGATTGGCATTCCGCACATGATATCTACAGATTGCCCCATCTGTGAGAGTGTGATAGATTAGGTGTGTCTTTTCTAAGAAAGAGTTCACCATGTTCACTTTATCTGCTCACTTGGTGACTAGGCTACAATACAGGGAATCTGGAGTTCACCAGACGTCTTCACACACACAAGAAACATTTATATGTGCTTACTTAAGAATGAGTCCAGGGATAAAATAATCACACTTGTTAAAAAATACACTTCACTTAAAAAAAAAAAAAAAGTACGTTACATAAATCATATAGCCAACTTTAATGAATATACTTAAGGGCAAACTAAATTAAAGGACACTTAATTGCATGTTATTTACTTACAAGAAAATGTATTATAGATTAAATGTAGCCTATTAAAATCAATTAGTTGAACCAAGAGTGCTTTTTTGACCCACTTAAGATTTACACATACATATTTATATGGAATTACATATTTCAAAATCTCACTATAACTAACTACAACTTTTGTCTCAATAAACTCCCAATTGCTGTTAAAGTTAGTACATAGGTATTGTGTAGGATTAAGGGATGTCAAATATGATCATGCAGAATAAGGTATCAATATCTGCTTTATAAGTGCTAATAAACAGCCAACATCCTAGTAATATGCACGCTAATAAGCAACTATAATTGTCTTTGAAATATGGTTGAAGTGTACCACCGAATGACAAACATTCCATGGCAAACTAAAATATACATTAATGTCATTTCTATTGAAATTTGTATTTAAATTTGTAATTTAGCACATTTAAAATACTTTGTATCAAGTAACTCACTACTTTACTTGACAGTAAACACAGAATAAGTGATACTTTTAAAGCACGAGAGATCATTAAAACATTATTTAAATTAGGCCTATACTTTAAAGTAAAACTTTAGATTTGGACCTTTTATTTAATTGCAATAGAGTTTTAAAAAATAAAATAAAATTACTTTTAAGTTTTGAAGTGCACATTCAATACTATTGGCGCACTTCTTTTTCTCGAGGGATACTTGTATAAAGGCCTAATGCTTCACTGTCGAATTATCAACAGCTTTACAATATTAGTGATAGTTGGCTTTGAAGAGGTCACATTACTTCAACCGTAGCAATGATCCTCATCAGTTCCTCTCACGGCCCATGTGAGCAGATCATAAGATCCAGAAAACATGAAGCAGACAAGCAGAGCATTCAGAAGGCAGTACATGTGGATCCAAGCAGTTTCACAGACATACACACCAGTGATGCGCGGGTTGATCCGAAATGAGCGGGTGCCTGCGGTCACCCGCGGTTACCCGCAGTTACGGGTCATCCAAAAATGTTTTTAATGATATTCGGGTCGCGGTCGGTCGGGTCGTTTGAAAAAAGATGCCAATTAAACATTTGTATTAATATAGTAGCCTACTAGACACAATTTTTGATGAAATATACAGCCCTACACATTTATTGGCTGAATAACTGGCACGAAGATAACACACAAGCTCAGTCTAAACAGATCTCGGTTCAATACTAGTGATTCGAGAACAGTATCAGCTGCTCGTGCTCATCACTTCTCTGAACAGTGGCACCAACATGTCTCGGTTCAGTGAACTGTTGGAGTTACTGGAGTAATTCAGGATATTGATTTATTTCGATTCGGAGGGACTGTCAGGCATGTCTGAAAGTGAGTAACTTTAGTAACTTGTGGATCAGCACTGACGCAAGACGCGAACTGTTTCGAACGATTCAGTTCGAGTGTACTGGTTCGACCGGTTCACTAAAAAGAATCGGTTCAAAAGAACGATTCGTTCACGAACCGGCCATGTCTACGATGATCACTACAGTCTGCAGAGAGATGGAGGCGACAAGAGATTGAGAAAAGGTGAAGACTGTGGAGTGGAAGCTCCGCAAATACACAAATAGAAAGAGTAAAAGTGCGTTTTTAAAAATGCGGTCAGGAAGCGGGTCGGGTACAATGTTTTTTTTTTTTTTTTACTTTTTTTGCGGTCCGAGTTGCGGGCGGGTAGCTGAAAACGTCGGTCGGTTGCGGGTTGTTTATACATTGACCCGCGCATCACTGATACACACACACACACAGTCCTCCAACTAAACAAACTATACGTCAGTGTCTCATGCTTGTATAGTCCAACATTTCTGTTTTTTAACATAGATCCATTGATTAGTTTATCATGAGGCATGTTGTATCTAAGAAGTTTGAGTTTGACTAGGAGATGTTGTATAGGGTTCAGCATGTGTTTGCCTGTAGATCAGAAGATCTCTGAGGAGGAACAAGGGCGGGCCGAGAAACGCCTGCTTCTGAGATGTGCTTTCATATGATTATAATAACGTTCGTTTCAGACACACTCTCTTTGTTCACAATTACTTTTGAAGAGTCATCCATTGAGGGAGTGCAAAGTTCAGTTAGCTATTGTTGATAGAGAACTAGAGGGATAATTAAGTTTTAAAGAAGGGTTAATTTCACAACTCTTACATTTACAGAATTGAAACAAACACATTATGGACATGTGTTCGATTGTCTTCCCTTGTGAAAAAGAAGTATACATATACTTAACAAGAGTAATTATCACGGAAATTAAGTGTGAACTGATGAATTAACTGCATGTTAATTAAAAGTAATGAAAATATATTTTAGTTCAAATTTAAATTAAATATAATTAGCTAAAGTTTAGCTATAGACGAATCCGGCGAAACTACCGGAAGTAAGCGGGGCGCCATTACTGAGCTGTTGCTGGGTAGCGTTGCGCCATTGCCTCCTATTGTTTTAGTTGCAACTTGCGTCCACTGGAATAAACAGCCCGCGATTTACGACTGTCACTAACGTTACAACGTTATCCCTTGTATAATGTCGAGTGGGTAAACAGTTTCCGTTATAAATTGTTTCAATGGTGGCAGTAAAATTTCAATTTTGAAGAGAAAACACTGTGAATACCCCGGGTCGACTGCCCCTGTCTGGTGCCGTACGGTTTACAGATAGGGATGGGCGGATCGATCCTGAAGTATCGATACTTCGATACTGACATGGTATCGAAAAGGATCGATCCTCACATAAAAATATCGATCCAAATGTGCATTTTTTTAACCAGTAATTTTTTAATAATTTAGCACGCAATTCAGTGCGAAAAATAAGCTTCTAAGTGGAAAATAAGCGAATGTTAGCGGGTTGTGTAGGATAGAACCTTTTCTACTAGTCATCTCTATACAAGACGAAACCAACCAATCACAGAGAGCGTTCGATGCTGGTGCTTCGCTGAGCTCACAGGCCCAGTGCGTTTGGGAAACGAAGCCTTGCTTAGACGACAGAGAAGCAATCGGGAGTTATTTCGCAATAAACAAACCAAAACTGTACATAACGGTTTAAAATGTTGACGTCAGTAATATCTTTTTTATGAAATTAATATTTTTATTCAACAAGGATCGATGCATTAAATTAATCAAAAGTGAAAGTCAAGGGTTTTACACTGTTAAAAAAATCTACTTCATATAAATGATGTTCTTTCAACTTTGTTCATCAAATAATTCTGCATAAAATGTATCATGGTTTCCAACAAAATATTAAACTGTTTTCAACATTGATAAAATAAGAAATGTTTCCTGAGAAGCAAATCAGCATATTAAAATGAATTATTATCATGACTGGAGTAATGATGCCGAAAATTCTGCTTTGATCACATGAATAAATTACAGTTTAGTATGGCATAGAAAACAGATAGCCTATGTTAAATTGTTAAATTGTAATATTACAGTTTTTACTAAGAGAAATAAAAATCTTAAAGACCCCAAACTTTTGAACAGTAGACTAGTGCTAGTACTATAATTAGGGTAGTTTTGTAAAAGTCACTGACTAATTAAAGGGTAGTTGAGAGCACAAATCACAAAATAGCTATTTAGGCCTAGTAGTCTTGAAAACATGTTCAGATTTAACAAGTTCAAATGCATGCTTTTAAAATGAAAAAGTATCGGTATCGGTATCGATATCGGCGATACTGGCCCTCTATTTACTTGGTATCGGATCGATACAGAAATTTGCAGTATCGCCCATCACTATTTACAGATTTCCTGGGCGAGTACAAGACGTGAACATTCGCGTATAATAACAATTATTTAATGACATAAGTAAAAAAAATATATAATAAATATGTGATATAGTGATCAGCAAAATCTCCTCTCTTGCTATTTTTTCTATTAAATTAACATGCTATGGTCATTAAATGGCTTTCCTGAGCTAAATGTAACGTTATGTGACATAATTGTTCTCCCGCTGTTATATTGACCTCTTTCCATGGTTTAAAAACACTAATTGGTCGATATTATGTATACTTTCTAGCTGTAACGTTACCTTACCCTTGCCTGTTGCAATGTGAAAATGAGATAAATAATGGACACAAAAGAAAAACATGAATTTGTTTATTTGATTTCATTCATTTATTTATTGTTGCCAAATGGACAGATCTTTTTATAGTTTCCT